CTGTAAGAAATTGAACTTCAGAGAGGTTGAGAAGCTGTAAAATCTTGACAATCAATTACCATTATTAATGAGGATTAGACTCCCATTTAAACTATACTGCAACTATTAATTTCACCAGAAAGCAGGATACCCTTGTCTCCTTCTATGTTTTAAAACCTGTCATATTTTCATATGAGAAATTGAAAGGGACCATAAGAAAAGAAATCCAATAGTACGAAAAAGAATCACAAGAACATGTAACCGTATCCTCACCACCTTGAGCCTCATTGCTATATTGGGAAGAGGTAAAGGATGTGAGATCCAAACTGTTGGTTCTAGTTGAAGTTATCTATTATTTAAAGAAGTTTATAAAATTTGCAGATGCAAATCTATGGACCATGAAAGCAGAATTAGACATTTCCCTTCAACTGAAACAACGATACTTAAAACGAAATTAGGGGCTCAGTTGAGTAAACAAATTTATCCTCTACTGCTGATTATCTCATATATCCTCTGCTGGAGGTTGGACAAAAGTGCAAAGGCACCTCGCTATTGCTAGCTGTGAAACTTGTTTGCTGCATATTTAGTGATTTTGCGATTAAATAATAGCAATAACTTTTGCCCCTGCTCTCAGATTCCTCTTTAATTCCTGTCTTTTCTTTTTCCTTTTTTTCCTCGAAGAGAGTTTACGAAAAAGATAAGACAAATCAAATTTTGATCCCAACAAAAACAGCAAGTCTCAATGTTGTTGCTAATTGGTTAGCTTCTTATAAAGGACATGATTAAGAAGAAATTGTGGATTCTTTCGACATCATCTTCAAGGGAACACAAGAAAAAATAGGGTACATGTACATCTTGTAGTATAGAACCAACAAAGAATCGGTGTTTGAATATATTGCTATCTCATTTAATCTACATAACAATAAAGAAGAGTGAGATCGGAAACTGAGTTACATGGTTGGACCATTTAAATCACCATGGTGACTTATTCTGTATGGGTGACTTGATTTGGATCCAAAGTTGCTAAAATGGTGAGCGACGAAAAAGGTGTTAAATTACCTTGAAAGTTTAACATTATTCTCCCTTACGATAATATCAGTCACAAACAAACACACATGCTATTTGCAAAACACTTGATTCCATGTTTCCAACAGAGAATGCTTGACTGGCTAGACTGAATAGCCTTTTCTAACAACACAGGCTTTCAAGATGTAAATTAAAAATTAATTTTGGAGTTGACAAACAAGCATGAAAAGAGAACTCCCAAATTAAATTTTGGTGAGTAGTATTGTTAACAATTGTCACAGACTCAGTGGACGGGAAACCTTGCAACTGATTGGTTCATAAAGTAAGTTTATGATACAAAAAATTCTTATTAGATACACCCTCTGTCGCTGAATTTTTCTGCTGAGACAACTCTGCAGTATTTGTAAAAGCTTTAATTTCAGTTTTTTAAACTATACCCAAAACCCTGTTCCAAGTTCTAGTATTTGACTCTAACTGTAATTCCACTTGATTGACCCGTCTGCATCTTAGAGCGTCTCAACAATAAGGCACAATAGAGTTTGAAACTGATAACATAACTGTCCGTAACATTTGCCTATAGCATATTAATGTATGCTAGATATGTAACAGAACCATTGGCAAACAATCACATTAACTAATGTCTTGTCACTGCCTTTGTTTATGTACTTTCATCAAATATTTGAGAACTACTATCCATCAACGTAAAGGTGAAAATAGTAGATATCTACCAAAATGGTAAAAGACAAGGTAAATATGCATTACTCTCAGCAGCACTGAGGTGGGAACAATAATGTTTTATTGAAACTTATTCCTAGTTTTAGAGAAAATTTAATTTCAAATATCTTGGGAACCAGGACACCTCCACTGTAAAACAATCTCTTTAAAAACTTTATATGTATTCATTGGTAACTTCAGAAAAATGTAGTTCATAAATGATTGGTTGTTTTAACAAGTCACAGTTATTAAAATGTCTTCATTAGTACTTGTAACAAAATGTAGTTCATTTATATATCTTTTTAACAGTCACAGCAAGTAACATAAACTGGAAGGTACGAGATATCTAAAGTGTCGTTTTTGCTCCTGCAGTGGTATCAGAATAGGAAGTTTATTCCATCCATTTTACGATGTAAACAAAAAAGGCTGCCATATTGTGTTTACTTTCTACCAGTTCCCAGTGTTTTATCGTTTATGACGCAACTGCGTCACAAATTAAAGCAACATGGCACAGAGAACACGAGCTCTGATAAAGAAAACTAAAGAAAATAAATGGACAAAAAATAGCGATATGCCAGATGAA